GTCTTCACAAACGTACTCTATGTCCCCACTCTTCATCACACACTCGTGTCCGTCCCCGCCTTAACGTCCAAGGAAAGAGTGACGGTTCAGTTCAAGGGCAAAACGTGCTCGATCAAGGTCGGCGACCGTGTTTCAGCCGAGGCCAAGTTGAACGACCGCCGAATGTACCAGCTCACCGGCAAAATCGAAGCAGCACCCGACGACATCGCATGCCTCGCCACAGACGGCGCCACCTGGCATCAACGCCTTGGACACCCATCCATCGCCTCGACGAAGGAGATCATTGCTGCCACCAAGGACGGCCCTAAGCAAGCGATGGAACCTCAAAAATGCGACGACTGTACGCGAGGGAAGATGATTCACGTATCACCCCCGAAGATGGGCACACGCACCTGGAAGGTCGGTCAATGCATCCACTCCGATCTGTGGGGGCCGACACGGGTGCCAACATCAAACGGCAAACGATACTTCGTGGCCTTCACCGACGACGCGAGTGGGCACGTCACCATCGATTTCCTGAAGACCAAGGATGAGACACTAGAAGCATTCAAGAGGTTCGAGAAAGAGTTCCAACGTACCACCGGCGTATCCATAACGGTGTTCCGGAGCGATGGTGGCGGAGAATTCAAAGCAATGACGAAGCACCTGGCAGCCCAAGGCATCAAGCACGAGACCAGTAACGCCGACCACCAATGGCAGAACGGCAAGGCGGAGCGGACCAATCGCACCATCGTCACAATGGCCCGGACCTTACTAATCCAGAGCCATCTTCCCGACATATGGTGGGCAGAAGCAGTCGCCACGGCTACGTACCTTCGAAACCGCACACCTAACGTCAACACCCACGGTAAAACTCCACACGAACTCATCCACGGCCAGATCCCGACGATCAAGCACCTACGCGTCTTTGGTTGCGTCTGCTTCCACCGGAACAAGGAGTCCAACAAGCTTCACAGCCGAGCCAACAAGTGCGTCTTCCTAGGGTACAGCACAACTCAGAAAGCATACAAGTTGTACGACCTCGAAGACAAGAAGTGCGCTTTCTCAGTCGACGTCGCGTTCCAAGAAGATACCTTCATGAACGCACCTCGCGACCACGACGAAGACGACAACGTCCAACTGAGCCGCGAGGACGCCGCCATGGAACAAGCGATGCCTACGACACCGAACCCGCGTCAAGCCCCAGTGACCATCACACCAGGCACGACACCCAACCCACGAGTCCACCGAACAAGATCGACAACGAGGCGCCCAACTGCATCGACGACCGACGCATACCAAGACATGATGCGAGGGGCCGGGACACCATCATTGCGTTTTGAAGACATTGGTCCAAGCCCCACACAAACCCGCAGTACCATGCCGGTACCAGAATCACCCCGATCACATCATTCACCGGCCGCCCAACTTCAAGGAAACCAGCTGGGTGAGCATACCCAAGTTCAAGGTTCTGTCAAGAGGGACGATAAAGGGGTAGCACTGGGGAGGAACGACGACGAAGAACACTTGTGTGGTCGAGGACAAAACCAAAGATGATCATTAACGGACTGTTTAGCTGACCTATGATTGGGCATAAACAGTCCGGTTTCTACAGAAAGAGAACACCGGATAATTCCGGATGACCGGATATTATCCGTAAGTGACCGAACCTCGGCGAAAAAGGCCAAAGCAAGAACGGCCAAAGTGCCCCTTCTTGACAGGTTCAACCCAACACAGCCGAACGCCAGTGGGTGACCAATCACACGCCAGCACGTTGGCACCGTATGTAGGGGCCACGCCAGATCATCAAGCAAACTCTCGAGCGATGACGTCACGCCGCAATGCCCGCACTACCGGCCTCGAAGCCATCGTTGGGCAAGCGACAGCGAACGCCGTGGCGAGACAGCGCACAGCCGCCAGATCCACGATCGAGGACCAGCATCGCACCGAACGACAACCATCCGCGTTGGAAGATCAACTCGTTGAACCAAGGCAACAAGAGTTCCGACGAGTTGTGGACATCCACACTCATCTGCCAAATGCGCGGCCGCCACAACCGGAATGGACCCACGTCCAGGCACCAACCAAGACTCGACGGACCGCGAACAACGAACACGGTATGGCCACCCAGGAGCAGGAGCCAGACGAACCCAGCGAAGAATGCAATCTGGTCGATATCGACGATCCAGAACCGACCAACTTCTGGGAGGCCATGAAGACCGATGAGTCCGACGAATGGTTGGCGGCTTGCAAGGTCGAAATGGCCAACCTCGTCCGCATGGAATGCTTCAAGCCAGCCATGACCCCCAGTGACCGCCAAGCGTTGAAGACGAAGTGGGTCTTCAAGCGCAAGGAAGTCTCGGCCACCGAGTTCAAGTACAAGGCTAGGCTCGTTGTCCAAGGTTTCCGCCAGCGCGCGGGCATTGACTTCCATGAAACGTACTCCCCCGTGGCCACCTTCGACGCCGTGCGTCTCGTCCTCGCCTTGGCTACACAACACGACCTTAAGGTCCACCATGGAGACGCGACCAACGCGTACATCCACGCCAGCTTGGATGACAAAATCCAGATTTACGTGAAGCAGCCCGATGGATTCGACGACGGCACTCCTCAAGACCTCCTCCTCAGCAAGGCACTCTACGGATTCAAGCAGAACGGGCTCGCGTGGTACGTACACTTGACGGACCTACTCATCAAGATCGGGTTCGACCCTACTCTGTCTGACCCTTGCGTCCTCACACACAACTTCGACGGCAAGACCCAGATCGTCACAATCTATGTCGACGACATCCTCGTGTGCGCCAAGACAAGCCAAGAAATACAAGACATATTTGAGTCCCTCGGCGAAGCCATCGAGATCAATGACCTCGGCCCCGTCAAGAGAATCCTCGGTATTGACATCTCTCGTGACCCAAGACAAGGCACCACGACACTATCTCACGAATCGTACATTGTTAAGGTGGCCCAAAGATTCAAACTCACGGGCATGCGCCCCGTCGACACCCCCATGCCAGTCGGCACTGATCCCGACCAAGATGCGACCCCACTGCCCAGCAACAAAGAGTACCAAGCACTCTTCGGCTCCCTCCTGTATTGCTCGACCAAGACACGACCAGATGTCGCCTACGCCGTCGGCAAGCTCACACGCTACACCTCCGCCCCAGCCCAAATGCATCTCAACGCCGCGCGTCGGATCGTTGCATATCTGTCCAGTACACGTCACGTCAAGATATACTACTTCAAGAGTCAGCCCACCTCTATGAACCTCGTCGGCTTCTCCGACTCCAGCTGGCATGACAACCGCAGCTCCGGTCGCTCAACTTGTGGCTACGTATGGATGTTGGCCGGCGGCGCCATTGCATGGCGCAGTAAGTTACAAGCAATCGTGACCCTCAGTACTGCCGAAGCCGAATACGTCGCAGCATGTCTGATCGCCCAGATGGGTTGTTTCCTCCGAACTTTTCCAAGACCCCAACAACGCTGTTCATGGACAACCAAAGCGCCATTATCATAGGCAACAATCAGACGAGTCTACAGCGCACCAAACATATCGCCCTGCGCTTCTATTTCCTTCGTCAACTCGTCAAGGAAGGCACGATCGAGCTAGCGTACTTCCCCGGCGACACGCTTCCCGCAGACATTTTCACGAAGCCAGTTCCCAAGATCAAGATTCAAGGTGCCATCAACGTACTCGGCATGGGAGGCTGTTGTGGATATGCCATGCAAAGTAGTGACACTAACTAGTGACCACCACAGTGGCCAAATGCCCATCATGCACGTAACGGTCGACACCGAAGAGCCGCGATCACCCGTCCAAGATTATATAGATGTTTAGAACAACAGAACAGTAGAAGCTTCATAGAGGATTAACATGTAATAAATCAGTTCTCAATTACACGATTAGCCACTAGCCTGTGTATGTAGCTAATACACCGAACTTGCCCACAGCATGAAAGATGGCATCACAGCGTGGAAGGGAGAGGACGTCGTTCCCATATTCCAAAAGTAATGAAGATCTTCTTCTGCCATTGGCGAAGACGTGGATGATACCGACCGCCTTCCACGCCGCAACGACATCATCCTTCGACGGGCTGTAGCCAGACGTAGAGCTCCAATATTGGGTGTAGAGATTTCACAAGTGCTTTTCCGGTCGAAGAATGACTGGAATTGGTCCTGTATTGGCCGAGATACAGTAGGGTGATTAGATGGCGTGCGATGATCGGCGACGATAAGATGCCGTTAGCTGTCAAAATTGTTCGATAAAATAGCTAATGCATCTCAAATTATTTACACGCGCAAGTCCCATTCCATAAAGTTGTCATTGAGAAAACACGCGTAATTCCCCCCCAAAAAGCACGCGTGAAAACACTTTTACCAAACTCATCCCATGTGTCTTGTGCAGCACGCCAGTGGCTCCTGGAGTCATCGTCGGTAGTGGACTTCTTGCTAACTGTAAAGTGTGCAAGGAATAAGACATCATGCGTTTTAAGTACTCCGGAGTAGCCGAGTTCATTTTACTCCGGTGCTAGCCAATGAAAACAAGTTGGACGAATTGGAATACAGTGTAAAAGTATTTTACAAATACCCGACTTGGACGATCGTGGTAAATTTCGGTTATTACTGTTGGACGATCCTGGGAAATACCCTTACAGTGTTAGAATAAACACAACAATATGAATCCCAGCATACGTTTCGTAGAGAGATCGTTGAGTGCCACTACTGGTAGGACACGTTCTCCCTGTTAATATAGTTTAACGTTAACGTTAGCAATGATGCAAGGAGCATACAAAAGTAGATATCTTCCATTGACAGAATGAATGGCTTTGCGTGCGTCAATATCGCGAATCCCATGGCGCTACATTCACATGCTGCACCATAATGGTTATTCATCAAATTAACGATGTTTACCACTAACATTACACGAGCGAGTTTGGCCTTTCATAACCAAGTTGGTTGAATGTTCAACCAAGTGGGTTCGATGTTGGCCGTGTCGCTTTCATTATGGCACGCGCAATTTTGACTTACTTCGGCAAGTACGGTTCAATGAGGTCACGAGAAGTGCTGACGCGTTCATACACACCTGGCTTTCCGCCCAGACCACAGCGAATTACCCAGACGGCCAACCCCACCAAGCGCGCGGTACCGTTTTCTTCGATGGTCAACGGTCCTCCCGAGTCGCCATTACAAATGCCTTCTCGGCTCTCCCCTCGAGCACCCAACTCCGTATTGAGCAGTGGCGAGGGGTACACCGCAGCCGAAGTCATGGTCTGGTCCCAGGTCGCGACGTTGAGCTCTTTGAGCACTGGCGATTTCGAGCCACGACTCGTGACTCCCCAGGCGCGTACCCAAGTGAGCACATCCCCCGGAACGATTTCAAACGACAAAATGAATGGTATTTCATCTAGAGCCAAGTCAATCCAATCGTTAACGTCAGACTGTGATTGCACTGGATGGTTGGGAAGCGACAACTGTGAAGCGTGACCGACATTCTTGCCAGAAAAACCCGCTACTGTGTCACACTTTCAAAGCACATGCGAGGAAGGCGCGATGCAGGTCAGCGACTTCTCAATGCATACTGCACAACGGGCCACGGAACTCTCCATTCCTCATAACAACATCCAATACTATCAAGAACACCTAGTGGTGGTACTTTCACCACGCGACTTGGAATCACGTGTAGGGATCACCCCTCCCACCGGCCAACTACTTGTTCGACTTAGTGTCGGCGAAGTCGTCACGAAACCAGCCAAACCGCACTTCGAGCGACGCGACGATCAACTGGTCCGTGTAGTTCGCTGATGATTTGGGTGCGACATCAGCTCGACCGAGAATCCAATCGAGTATCCAAGCTACTGGGAGCACCTCGTCACTGCGTCGGGAATATGAAAGGAAGCTAAGTACGCTCACCTCTTTCAAATGTCTTGGGACTTTGCACTATTGTATACTCACATCTTTTAAATGGCTTGGGCCTTTTCATCATTCATTGCTCATATTGTTCAAATGTCTTGGGCCTTTTCACCACTTCAGTATGCTCCCCACTCCGAAGTAACAAAATATTATTAATAATAGTATTATTGATACAATACTAGTATTAATAGTTATATATAGTAGTACAAGGTGTGTTAACCTTGTATTTTGGCCAATCCGATTCAGCTACTACACATTATACCTTGATTTGTCATCGAAATCGAATTTCGAAGCATATATATTCAGGGCTCATTAGTGGAAAAAAGTCGGACAGGATATACAGGAACCAAGTGATCGTCGGACCGTTTGTCCGACTTTCTTGTTCGTTGTACATTGTACTACGTAGTACTCCGAGGAGTAATATTTATTATTTACAAAAGCGAAGTCAAATCCAGACGTGAGAAATTGACAGAAGAAAGTCGGACCGAATGTCCTGTATCCATTGATTGGTTATATATAAGTGCTTTGACCATGGCAGATGAACAACATAATGAAGTTTTGCCTGCAACCCGCCAGCTAGCAACGACAGTACCTTAGGGCATCCCCAATGGTGCGACGGTAAACGCTATTTTACCGTTTTTGAGGTCACATATGCAGTTTTGGCAACCCCAACGGTGCGACGGTATCTACCGGAAACGGCATATTTTTACCGCGAGACGGCAAATCGGCCATTTTTACCGTTTTGTGACCACCCGACGGTAAAATACCGGAGCC